TTGTTACTCTTTCGACAAACGAAGAAGAGGAAGACTATGTAGATTAGTGTATCAATCACTCTCTCAAGTTCATTGTTGACTTCAATTTACTTGTTTCTTTTTTTTTTTTTTCTTTTCGATGGTTTTAAGTTCTTAAACTAAAAAATATGGCAACTATTGATGATAATGCACGTTGGTTACATTCAAATGTTGATCTTTTATCAGGTCATGGCATTAATTATAATGTTAATGTAAAGATATTGTTTATTTTTCATATTTATTTTTTTTAATATGAATTAATCTTTGGTTTTTCGTTTTTTTTTTTAAAGTATATCGGATCTGTTGAAGTACTTTGTTCAATGAAAACACTTGATTTTGATAATCGTACACGAGTTGCACGTGATTCTATTCGTTTAGTGTGTACAGCAGTTGGTGTTTTATTAAAAGAACGACGTAAAGTAATTGAAATATTTTATATTTATAAATCGATATTACAACATTAATATTTATTTAGCCTGAATCATCATCAATAGGACAATTAAAAATTGCAACAGAACCAAATTTAACTTATAGTCATACACCTGTTCAATTAACAATTAGTACTGATGCACTTATAGTTAAACGATTAAGTGATTCACAAATACTTTATTCACATAAAATGGAAGGAATTTCATTTGCAAGTGCTGGAGAACATGTATGAATTGTTTTTAATGATATGTTTTTTTTTTGTATTGTTTTGTTTGATTTTTTAGGATACAAAAGATTATATAGCTTATGTAGCAAAAGATAATATGAATAAACGATCATGTCATGTACTTTCATGTGAAGAAAATGAATCATTAGATGTTATAACAACAATTGGACAAGCATTTGAATTACGTTATAATGAATATATGCAATTACAACAAGGAAATGATCAACAAGGGTATGAAAATTATTTTTAATTTAGAAATTTATTTATTATTTTAAATTAAAAAATTTTATTTTATTTAGAGTAATCAAATCATTTGAACATGATGAATTTCTTCAACAAGTAAAATTTTATATATTCAAAAAAAGTATATATTTATCTTTTTTTTTTATCATAGAAACGGGATGAAAATCTTAAACGTTTTATTCCTCATTATAATCAACCACAACAACAAACACAAGGTATGTGTAAATATTCTTGTATATATATATTTATTTATATCAATTAAAAACAAGTGATTTTCATATATGTGTTATTTTCTTTTTGTTAAGCATCTAATATAGTTTTAAAAACATTGTAAGATAAGCATTTGCTATCATTTACGAAAATAGTTGCATGTTTGGTATTTTTATTTGCATGTAAAACAAGAACGAGATAAATATATTAAAGCTTCAATTTCCGATTATTCGTTGTTTCTCGTTTTTTTTTTTTCCTTTTTAAAATAATCATTCAGATATATTAGCATCTTATTTTGTGTATACAAATCGTTGGTTAGTTCATATATTTTAATCTAATTGATTAACTGATAATTGTATTAAATGAAATATCATTGCTTCTTTTCGGTTCACTTAATCCATCATCAATTTACAAACTAATTCGAGTTGTAATATAAACTTCTTCCTTAATTCGAACTTGAACTTAATTTCAGTTTGAATATTAACATAGAGTAATCGTAAAGACTTGCTCGACGTTCCTGTAAAGAAACTCAAAGGTCAATATAGATTTTTTTTTTCTTCAGAAAAGAATATCTTAATATAGAAAATAAAGCTAATGACGTTAGATTATTTATTCGACAGCTCAATGCTGTTTTTATTAGCAATAAAAATTCTGTATCAAACCAGATAATGGAAGTTTCTCTATGCTTTAAGATTAGAGTAAATCGAGGTATTGTATCGGTGACATAATATAGACATACAAATTTTATGTGTTAATCAGAAATTGGAAGTTAACGTATTTAAATAGTGAAAAAGTGTAAAAAAAAAAAGTCTTTTGTGAACTCTAAGGAAACAATTAGCGTTTTCACCTTGACTTCTTTTCATTAATGTCTATCGACTTCAAGTTGATGCTTGCGAACAAATTTTATCGAACTATATTTTGTAGTTAAAATGTTAAGTAGAAAGATTGAAGTTTATGTAATTTTTATCTAGTAGTAGAACTTCTTATTACTACAGATAAATGGGTATTATTTATATGTATGAATATATAAAAATTAAATATATATTGAATTTAAATAAATTTTGTATATTTTTATTATTTAGGAAATTGGAATACAATGAACAGTCATGATGTTTACAAAGAAAAATGGTTTCATGGCAAGATTAGTCGTGATGAAGTATGTATAGATTATTTTTTAGATATTTTAAAAGATAGTTTAAATTAGAGAAGATAACGAAAGATATACATTTTTTTTTATTATTTAGGCTGAACTTTTATTACATCATAGTGGTGATTTTCTTGTACGTGAAAGTGCAAAAATTCCTGGTCAATATATTCTGTCAGGTCGTTATAAAGATCAATATAAACATTTACTTCTTGTTGATCCAGAAGGAATAGTAAGTATAAATAAGAATTTTAAAATAGAATTTTATTTTATATTTTCTCTATATAAATATAGATTCGTACAAAAGATTATGAATTTGATTCTATTCAACATCTTATATCATATCATAAATCAGGCAATATTCCTATTGTATCTGCTGATAGTGAACTTCTTTTACAAACACCTGTTCTACGTTCTAAATGAATTTATGTGTTTGTCTGTGTGTGTGTGTGTTTTTAAAAAAATCTGTAGATAAAATCAAAATTTAGATTAATGCAATACTCATTATATGTGTATATCTCAGGAGTTTTGCTCGTTTATTTGTTATGAAAATCGAGCCATATTGCACCGTTCAGATGAAGTTGACACTTAGTTTTTTGTCTTTTTCTTTGTTTTTTTTTTTTTTGTATAACGTAATTTACACTCATCATAACAGTGGCATTGGGATTTTGGCTCAATATATATCAAATAATGAAAGTTATGTTGTTCTCACTTATCGTGTTTTTTTTTCTTTTGTGTTCATTCGCTTTGCTTTATTTATCATTATTACTAACTAATTTTTCTTTTCCTATTTTTTGTGTCGATTCATAAATAGAATTATTCAAAGAAGAAATTGCGAAACTTGTTTATATTTTTCGCATGAAATTATTATCAAAAAAAAAGAATTAATTAATAAAATAGAAATAAACATTGTCTACTATACGTCATAGGTTTAAATCAATAAATAAATACATATATATATATATAATCATTTGGGAATACTCTATCTTAGAGAAATACAAGTATTATTTTATGATAGCCATTGGCTTGAGTACATCCGGTGTGTCAAGGATTTCTATATGATAAATGAAAAGAAAAAAAGGAAGGAGATGATAATGATGATCATATTCATCTGATTTAATAATAAATCAAAAAATTCATATTTGATATTTCTTATTGGTATAACTATGAATATTTTATTGATTGATAATGGAAACGATGATTGTAATTAACCATAAAATAGAATTATCAATAGAAAGAACTTATGACATTAGAATTAATGGAAAAAACAGAAATTGTTGATTCTTTTTCTTAGAAATAGAAATAGATGAATAAAAGATTGATAGAACTTTTAGATAAGTATTTATTTTTATTATTACGTAGCTTTCATTTATGTTATGGATTGATATAGTAATGATGGATATTCAGTGAGAGTAAGAAGACGTACGTAAGTTTGTTGAGTAATGCCGCCGGGAGAAGTTTTTTGTAAAGACAGTTATGTTGTTACATTCACTGACACTCACTTCCACAAGCATAAGAAAGAAGCAATAGTACTCTTCATTTTCACTCGTTCTCTCTCTCTCTCCCTCTCCCTTTCGTCCTTCTCTCCTTTTAGCCGATGGCATCGCTCACTCGGTCAAATTGAAGGCGCATGCGTTTATGCATATTGAACATTAGCATCATTTTCTCTTTTTTTTTGTCGGGAAAAAAATGACAAATGAATGCTGCTAGCAAGGAGAGCACGACAATTATTGAGCAAATGTTTCGATTTTCTTAACCTCTGCGCTTGTCATCATCAAATGTTATCATCATCTAATCATCATTCCTTTGATGAGGTGAGTATTAATTATAACCAAAAGAAAAATCTTTGATTATACATGACAAGTATTCTTATACCCAAAAAAAACATGCGTGGAATGTTATTGACGAACTTATTATCCGTCGCATATATATATAGGTACACAATACGATTAGGTGAATAGGATCAAAACAGAATGAATGTTCATTCATGTTTTTGTTGTTTTTATTCGTAATGTTTTGTTAATCAATACGACGTAACAAAAAAAAAAGAAAGCAAGAAAGAAAGAGAATGAATATTTAACTCATCTTTTTGCGTACCCCTATTGTTGATTTAGTTACCCGGCAAACTTATATCTTCAAGTAATTTGTCGGATGATGAATAGATATATAGAAACATGTCTCTTTTTCTCATCATCATTTCTTTTTTCATGACAATCTTCCCTCAAAAAAACTGAACTCATAGATACCGCCTTGTCCGTATGCACGCAAGCATGCAATCGGACACAATATGATGAAGTAAAAAAAGGACGACGGAGCATGTGAAACCCACTCGATTTATGTGCAATACAAAAGAATAGACATACATACACAAACAGAGAGAGAGAGAGAGAGAGAGAACACTTATAGGCTCAGGTTTTTCTCTTTCACCTGCATGACAAGAGAAAAGAAAAGGGAGGAGAAAAGAACAAGAGAAGAAACGAACCGAATTCTAAATAAACATCGTACTTTTCGTCGTCGTGTTGCGAATAGATCTGCTTCATATACCTGAACTTTTTTTTAAATCGAACGAAAAGAATACAAAATTACTCTATATTTATATTCTCATTACATTACACTTACACTATTTTTACTTACTTTATACTCATTATTTCCTCTAACTCTTTAATATTGTGAAAGATACAAAACAAACAATCAAAATATAAAACTTACAAAGCAAAAGAAACGACTACTATGGCTACGGATGTATTAGATGAAAATCGTTTTAAAAATCAATGTTCTCTATATGAATCAACTCGTGTTCAATTAAGTAAAGACTCTATAAATCATCCTCCAACAACATCGACAGTATTAAATTCACCATCAATGTCTACAACTACTCATAATCGACGTGTTAAATATCCAACACAAACAAATTTGCCTTCATCTCATTCATTATCGAATTCAATTCATAATCGACATTCTGGTTCTTCTGATATATTCACTTTTATTCGTTCGTTTGCAATGAAACCTTTTAAAACATCGTCAATGACAAATGCTGTAGCTGGAGGAGAAACAAGCAATGTTATAGGTGGTAGTAATATGCGTAATAAATCTTCTGTCAGTCTCCTAAGATATCGTCCATTGAGTGACGTTTTGACCGATCACACTTCTTATACACAATCTAATCATGTATGTATAGACAGAAAAAAATGTGCTTGCGTGCATGTATAGAAAAAAAAACTTTGTGTCTCTTTTGACACGAAAGAGAAATCTTTCTTTTTCTTTTTTTGTTGAACATTAGATATGAAAGAAAATACATGACAATATATAAATGGGATTATGAAATATAGAGATTTCTCTAGAAAGTAAAAACAAAAGAAAAGTTTTTATTTTGAAAAACGCTGTCTTTGAATAGTACTTTTAAAAAAGACTATTTGTTTTGTCAGTAGTTACATTAATCATATTTTTTTTTCTTGAATAAGAAAACTTTACGAGTATAACGAATACCTAAAAGAATTTTTGCTTGAGACTATGACTTTGATATTGTTTCTTTAGTCTCATAAGAGATAAGCTTATAGACGTTATTATTTATTTATGTGGGTTTTTTTTTGGGGCTATAAATAGTTATTTTAATTAAAAAAAAGTCTTTTTTGTTATACCCACAATAAAACATCTAATCTTATTTTAGATACATGAAGATATGAAACAGGAAGTTTTTCATAATTCAATAATTGTAATAATGCATTTAGCTGAATTTTCCGGAGCCATATTCATATCTACTAACTTTAGGAAATAAATAAATATTCAAATAAGAAAATATAAATATGATATTCAGTTGTTGATTACACAGGAAACCAATGGAACTCATCTAATAATTAAGAAGTTTAAAAGCTTTGATTTTATAATACTGATCATCTCTATTGAACAGTGTTCAACAACTGAAGTTTATTTTTACGCAGAAAAAAAAATCTGTTTATAAAATTTTATTTGAACTATAAAATATCACGTTTATTTTATTCAGTAGGAAAGCCGTGCCGCTCCAATGACTAGGTCGTTCTTTCCCGAAGTTTAATATTATCGTACTACGTATTATGAGTACATATTTCTAAAAAAATAGGTGTACATCTTGCTACAAAAGAAAAACTAGGTAAAAATATTACGTCACAGGGCTCAAAATTGGTTCACAGAAAATTTTGTTTATAAAAATTATTTTACCAATAAAATTCGAAGATCATTTTGGTAATTAGCAATGTTCTTGAAAACAAATAACCAGGATGTATAGGTTAGATTGTCGCAATTGAATTGTTTATTGAGTCAAACGTACAAATAAAACATGTTTAAAAGTATTTGAACTTTATAATGATTACTATGCTTAACTTTTTGTTCTTCACCATTGAATTTTTTATTAGAGAAAAGTCATGGAAAATATACTAGATTTCAGAGTAAAAGTTTTTTTTTTCCATTTTGGTCGTCCAGTGAAGTAACACATAATCGAAAATGACTCATGTTTTTAAAGAAAAATATGTTGGATGCATCATATTTTATGGTCTAGCTGTGCTTTTATACATATGATACATCAAATCCGAGTTGTTCGTAAAGAATGAGTTAGATATTAAAAAACTCTTCTTTCTATATACTAACTATGTTTAACTGTGTACTATCTCATTGAATTATCAAAAGCGAGTAGAAAATGATACAAAACTCATTTATTTCGTATACTTTTTTTTTCTGTCAATTACATTAGCACATAAATTAATATAATTGATATACTACATATGAACGAGCTTGACAATCCGTTTAATCAATTATTATGGTTTATTGTATTATTCGTACTTGAATATGCCATAGTTTTTCTATCATAAATTTCTTTGATAATATCTATCACATAAGATAGGCATAAATTTCGATGCAAGGTTAGCATAAAAACACCAAGTCAGATCAATCTGACAGAGAACTTGACCTCGCTTGCCATGAGAAAAACATATTCTTGGATCACATAGTTCATTACGAGCTGTGTTGAATAAAACAATCAATTAAATATTCTATTATGTTATCTGATGAATAGACATTTATTTTTGTTTATATCATTTAGGCAGTTGAAGAATTTCTTAAACATATGGAATGGTCAGTAAATTCAACAACAGAAGAAACACGTGTAAAATGGAATACAGCTATGAAATTTTTAATTCCGACTAAATATGATGTTAATCGAGCAATTGATTTGTATAAAATGCATGAGGTTAATAGAAGTTTCTTTTACTTATAAATCATGAACATGATTTTCTTTTTAGCATCTTCGTAAAATAGAAAAACTTGATCGTATTTGGATAAAAAATCCTTATCTTATTCGTGAAATTGAATCAAGCAAATTTTTTCAACTGGTATTTTAATATAATATAATTTTATAAATAGCTTTTTTTTTTCTTTTTATAAATTAGTCACAATTACCAAATCAACCATTAACAGTTGTATTTACAGCATCAAATCTTAATTATTCAACAATTAATGATTCACTTTCACAACAAGATTATGAATTAATTACATTACAAGCATTAGTTTGTCAACTTGATGTTGCAACTGAAAGGTTAAATTAATAAAAATTAATAGATGAATCAAAAATTTTTGGAGAAAAATATTTGTTCACTTTGTGAATAACTTGAAAGCATTTTCGAGAAGTCAAAAACTATAGTTTATGATTTGAGTTTTATGCTCGTTCTAAATGTAGGCTTCGAAATTTTATTCAGACTAATGAGATGATCAATAATTTGAACGAAAATATTTTCCTTACACTTTTATATTCAAAAAATAAATGGTAACACCTACATTAATATATCAATGCGTAGAGAAGAAGTCAGCATACGAAATATACTATTCGAGTTTTTGTTTATTTTTCTATAGGTCACTTCAATATTTGTTTCTCTTAAATTCTCATATTTAACCAAAAGATGATTTTGTAAAAAATGTATCTATTCAACAAAATAACCCACTGGTTTCTTCGAAAAAGAACTTAGAGAAGTTACCGAAAGCTTATTGATTCACCATTTAATTTAGGTTTTTTTGAGTCTTCAAAAATTTCTTTACGTGTCTCGAAAAAAAAGTTAAGATAACATTTTTAAGCTCATATTCGACAAGTGAATGGTATGTTGATCCTCATTCGTAACTTTTAACTCTTCGAAAACATTTTTAAGAAAGTTAAAAACATAAAGAAATATTTTGTTTTATGTCTCAAAATTTTCAATGTGATCGTTTTATTTTGATTTTTTTGTTTTATTTTAGTATTGAAGTTCAACAAAATGGTATAAATTTTATTTATGATATGCAAAATTGTTCTACATCACAATTCAATATAAATCTTAGTAAAAAAATTCTTAAACTTCTTCAAGTAATTTATATTTTGTTTTGTTTTTTTTTTCTTTTTAATTAGTTCTTATTGTTTTGTTTTGTATATAGGGTGGTTATCCAGCAATGTTAAAAAATATATTTGTTATATCAGCTCCGAAATGGTTTAGAGTAATCTATAAGGTACTCGCGATTTTTTTAAGTCAAAAGTTGCGTGATAGGGTGAGAAGATATACGGTATATATTAACCTGACAAATAGAATAGTAGAATTAGTTGATTTTACACTATTGCACGCATGTTGTTTTCAGTTATTCACGATTTTCACTTGTATAAAAATGTATATATTGTTTTTTTATATCAATTCTATATAATATTTTCTTTTTTTTAAGGTAACATTCTTTACAGTAGATCAAATACGTGAATGTTTAACAACACAATATGGTTATTCATTAGATAATATTCCAATATCATTAAGTGGTACTTATGATCCAACAATTACTGGTCATACTCGTTATCAAATGTGTTTATCAAAAGTAACAAATAATCATTCAATATGTTATTCTTATTATTCTCTTGATTATCAACCAATGACAACAAAATCAACGAATGATAATTTTCTTTTTGACAGTGGTCATTATAATCAAGACAAATCGATCATTTCATCAAAAACAATAACAACGCCTTCGCCATCATCACTTGTTCGACTTGTTTCTTCAAAACGTAATAATGAATCATTATCATCATCACAAGTGCGTATGCGAAAACGTGAATCATCATTATCGAATGATCATGATAAACGCCGACGATCTAATGACAGTCTTATTGAAGAAGAATCACTTACAATGAATTTATCATCATTATCACGAAAAGAAAATTTTGATGAGTAAGTATTTTCATGGATTTTTGTTTTTCTTTAAAAAAAGAGAGCAAAAAAATCATTATTTTCAATTTTTAACTTTTGATTCACGTGTTTACTAAGAAAAATAACAAAGAATAGAAAGAAAAAAAAAAGAGATCACCTGTGAACTAATCGACAAACTTATCAGCAGACTTGAAATATCGTTCTTTGTCGATGTATGAATATTTTATACGACAGCTGCATTTAAAACAAAATCAATTCACAATGTTATGGTATGAATTTATATTTTCCTTAGAAGAAATTGAATTTTTAATTTTAATTTATTCCATGATCGTCTTTTTATAATGAGTGTTGCGAAAGTTTCTCAACAATATGTTTCTTCATTGTTCAACTGATTACCGGATGTTAGCAAAAAATTTCGAATCAAAATTTTTATGCTGTTTCTGAATCGATATTCGGAATTTTGTGGAGGTAAATGTAGATTAGAAACTATAAGTAATTCATTCATAATAGTTTCGAAAATAAAGTTTCGATGAGTTTCAGTGAGCAAAAAAAAGTCATTCAAGGTAGAAGCAGCATTAATTACAAATAGAATAAAACAAAGACCAAACACTTTTCAACAAAATGATATTCTAATGAGTAGTTTTCCGTGATGGTTCGGTCAATAGGAAGGGTCCAAGTGAAAGAGACATTGAGGTATAAATGTGAGACTAATTAGTCTTCAGTTCAGTCACACCCACATACATGAAATTAGACTCAACCCTCACATTATTTTTTGTCTCAATTGACGAAGATGTTTCATTATTATTTATTTATCTCTGGTAAGCGTTATTAGTATAAATACTATTTTATCATTCTTTTTGCTAGATGAAAGGTAGATAAAAAGAAATAAGAAATGTCTTTTATTTTCTTCTACTATCTTAAATATTTTGTTATGCTTTCTTTTCCTATTTTATACCTCAAGTTACACGTATTCTCTTCTTTTTTTTTTTCCCCTATTCTCTATTGACTGATGATTTTCTCTTAACAATGAACAATAATCAATGACAAGGTTTAACTTCATGTAATATTATTTCATCGATCATAAAGCATATTCATCATTGTCTTTCTCATCAATGTTATTAACGATTCTTCCTTTTAATCGACATTCTATATTATCAATATTTTACATGTATGAGAATTTTTTCTCTATCATTATCATAATTCTCTACAAAGTCAGTAATGACAAAAACACACTCGAGTGTGTGTACTAGTTCAAGGTAAAATTTATAATTAGATTCTTACTCGGATACACTATGTTTAATTTCTTATATATCCTTGATTTTTGTTTTATTATCTTTATATAGAATAAAATTTTTTTTTTTTTTATTTAGTCAATTAAAACGAAATGAAAATTATCATTATTCGTATACGGATCAAAAACAAAAAAATGATCATAATGTAGGAAATATTATGAATGAAAACGAATGTCGTGAATTGAAATGTAATACTAAACGAACACCAATAATAAATAGTTATAAACCATTAAATGAAATGGAATTTTTGTCTAAAACAAATTCTGAAATAAGACAAGAATTTCGTAAAATGCTAAATCCACCAGCAAAGGATACACATGTTGCAAAGTAATACATAAATTTCTAATTTTAAATTTAATTACTCTTTATTACGTTTTATTTTCTTTTAGATACGAAGAAAATCTTGATAAATCTCGTTATCGTGATGTTCTACCAGGTGAATCAACTCGTGTTAAACTTCAAGATAATACTGATCAAAATGATTTTATCAATGCTAATTATGTTAGTGGTTATAATAATCAAGAAAAAGCTTATATATTTACTCAAGGTAGACCAAAAAAAAAAAGAACAAAAAATTTTGAATTATTTAAAAATTTAATTTTTAAGGACCATTACAAGCAACAGTTAAAGATTTTTGGCGTATGATATGGCAAGAAAATATATCTATTATAGTCATGACAACAAATATTCGTGAATCCGGTACAATGAAATGTTATCCATATTGGCCATTAAGAACAAAAGAATATCTTAATAGTGGTTTATATCAAATTCAAAATGAAAAATCTGATCAATATGATAGTTTTATAATAACAACATTATTATTAAAGAAAAAGAATCATTCCGAAATTCGAACTATTTATCATGCACATTATCTTAAATGGCCTGATCATGGTATACCAAGTGGAACAAAAGATGCATTATTATTTTTAGAAAAAGTTGAATATTATAAAGATTTAATAAAAACAAAATCTCCAGTTCTTCTTCATTGTTCCGCTGGTATTGGACGTACAGGTACATTTTGTGCAATTGATATTGGTATAAAACGATATTTAAATGAAAAAATTATTGATATACCATCAACTGTTGTTAAAATGAGACAAGAACGTGCCGGTAGTGTTCAAACAGAAGATCAATATTTATTTGTTTATTTAGCATTGATGGATTTTATTAAACAACAACAAACTTTACAAGAAAAAATTCAAAATTTAGAATTAACAAATAGTAAAATATCATTTGAATTAGATCAAACAATTACAGCATCTTTAATAAATACATCAAAAATAATAAATTTACAAGAATCAGTATCTCAACAAGTTAAAATATCAAGTGATTCTTTAGTAACAAATATTCCACCTTTAATATCATCTATAAATGAAATTATTCGACAACAAACTTCATCAGAAACAAGTTCATTAATGCCATCGACTAATGACAATGAAATAGATAGAAAAATTCATACATAGTCATTAATATTCTTTGTTTTTTTTTTTCTGTATTATGTTCTCTACTCATATCTGTGAATATTATACCTTTACTGTTGTTTGTACTTATCTTTCTTACACAAACCCGTCTATGCCATTGTTATTGGCATATTTTTTGTCTTTTTGTTTTTTTTTTCTTTTGACATAAATAAGCATTCATTGAAATCGAAAATTAAATTATCTGCTTTCTTTTTTTTTATTTGATAAGAGAAAAAACAATAATTTACTGCTTATCATCGATGCAAATAATTTTAATATAATACACGAATACGTGAGAATTATTAAAGAGAAGATTGAGTATTTGAATAATATATTTAAAATACGAATAATTAAGTTTTTTTTTTTTTTGTATACATAAAACGTCTTCATTAGTCTGATTGATAAGTTGAATGTTTCGTCATGCATTTTAATAAATTATTTATGTATTTTACTATGAAATATATGACAAACAATACTATTGTAATTAATATTTATATAAAATCGAAAGATAAAATATCCAATGTATTGTCAACCTTGAAAATCGTGTATAGGAAAATTATCTAAAAGATTGAATGTACAATCATGTTAGCCGTTTGTTTGCACTACATTTATTATACCGTTAGTAGATTGCCGGTCGAAGAACAATTATTTAAGTATCAAGCTACTACCGGTTGATTGCCGATTTTGTTCTACTACCGGCAAATTATACCGAACCCTTTACCGTCGATTTTTGTCCGGTTTGAATCATATGAGTAATGAAAAGATTAGTCTCGAATAATAAAATAATTTGTTTTTCGAGCTATCTGATAGGCTTAATTTAGTATAAAGATAATCGAAGAGATAGGTTTCATATAGGATAGTCTTTCACAAAAACAAACACGTTCTAAAAGTATTCTTTTGTTTTATGAAATATTCCAATTTAAAAATTTAAGGAATATTGTTTATCAACTGAAATGACATTTATTTTAAAGTGGATTCATTGATTTTCTGAAAAGAAATGGTTTATATTACTCATTCTCCTTGTTTTTATTTTACGATGCATTTGATATCACTTGTTTGACAACACTAAAATAATCAGATATTTTTTTCGATTTAACTCAAGTATTTGAAAAGCGAACATAGTAGATTACATTTATTCATTTTTTACTTTCTTTTTTAGTTGCTTTATTTGTCACACTGATGTATGTAAGAAAGTGTAATTCTTTTTTTCTTTCTATGTCATACACACATTATATATTCTTCGTCTCTTCGAATCGTGCAATCATCAATTTTTGCTTTAATAGTTTTTTTATGTGTTATAAAGTTTCGCTTATTGTAAAAATAAATCAGCTGTATCACAATATAAAATTAAACCAGATACATACATATAATTATCTTTTTCTGCATTTTGATGTGATTTATTAGTACAAATTTTCGATGTTTTCAGGTAGAGGTCATAATGATGAAATCGTAAAAATATTACATCAAAATTTTTCATTCAAAATACACTTTTCAATATTAGTAACGAGAACTTGTTGTATTACAAGATCGCAAGGAATAGAATATAGTGAATAGATTCGATTAGTTTCATTTCAAACACATGCGTATGTCGATTAAACATGACATCCTTAAATTAGTGTCAGTATGAATTATTAATGTGCAGTTAAAGGTCGAGCATTCGGTACAATTAACAATAAACTAAAAATTATTGACTCAAAAACAATTTATGATAATGAATTTAATCATTATACAATCAAAGAAAATTTCTAGAAGTGAAAATCAGCATTGAAGATAAACAGAGATACTGCATAGACATTTTTCAAAAGCAGAAGGAAGCGTAAACAGAGCTGTTCGGGTTAGCACAGAGTTCGAAAATTTTGAACTTGATGCACTCTAGGCGTCACGCTCCATCTTTTCCAACAAATTACGATAATCAGCCTTTCACTATCTCGAAAGATAAACATAAAGTAATTATTTATTTTTTTATTGATAACCATATAAATAAAAAATATTTTTATATTATTGCTAAGATTGAAAAGAACATATTTCATTTAGATTCATATGGTTTAATCATCCGTAATGAAAATGAATGACCTATGATGATTTTCATTATTATCATTGTTGACAAAATTTGACAGTATGAAATAACAAAAATGTTTGTTTCTATCATCACATGAATGTGAAAAAAAGAGTTAAAAATTTAATAAATAAATATTTTTCTTTTAATGACGATCAGTTTTACTTTTTCTATCAGTAAAAAGTTCAAAGATCGTCTTGTGTTGCCATGGCCTTGATTTTTCAGTTGAATTAGGTTTCAAAAAATTTTGAAAACGATGTAATATTCGTTTTCGCAGCGATGAATTTGCTGTTATATCATCTGGTTGAAATATTTTTGATAAACTCGTTCGAGATGAAATTGAAGATGAAAAAAATTGAGATTCTTCAATTGATCCTCGAGTATTATGATCTGCTACTGTATGTCTTCCATCAAAATATTTCATTTGAAATATTGAAGTATCATTAGGTTTAATGTCGTCTTCAGGTAAGTAATATTCGGATTTTATAGCTCGAGAACGTTTTTTTAGTGAACGAAGCAATGGAGATGTTTCCATGACATCATTTGATATTGAAGAATTCTTATTAGTATTTGATTTATTATTCAAATAAAATGGAAGGTTCATTTCATCGTTATTGTTTGCTTCAACATTGATAATTTTTTCATTATTAACACGATCACATTTTTCCATACATATATGATCGAATGCAAACGTACGTGTTAAGGTTGTTTTTCCCCTGAATGATTTTTCTTGTTGTATTTGAATAGGATTTGATTTACGATGTAATGATAAATGAGCAAATGTCGTAATTATTCGAGGCCTTTCTGGTGAATCATTTTCAATTGAATCTAGACTTTCTATTGAATTAGAATTATATCTTGATTGTTTTTCATCTATCGGCTTAGATGAAAACGATAATGAACGATGTTCTGTCGTTTTATAATTTGTTTTTAATTTTGCAATATTGTGCGATATCGAAAAAGATTGATTGAATATGTTTGGTTTATGAATAAGAATATTGTTAGATAGTTGTGTAGAAATTATTGATTCCGTTCGATGTTCTATTGCATGTTCTTTTGAAGGTATCTAAATAAATCATTTTCTTTTGTCGATAAATCAAATGTTGATTAATTTTTACCTCATTTATAATTGATTGAGCGATTTGATTATATTCCGTATGATGCTTATCGTCGATTATTTGAGCAAAATTTAATTGCTTTTCTATTATACTTCTTGTTTCAGTGGTTGAACGAGGTCGTTGAACTTCAAAAACAACATAACAATCTTCCATTGATGATAATGAAGAACTATCACTGTCACTATAATTACGTATTGGACAATCAATATTATCAGTTTCTTCTGGAATTGTCTGAATTGTAAAATAATTCAGCCATGAAATTCGTTTATTAGAATTATCTATCCATTCATTTTCATATATTCTTGATTTTGTATAACGATTTGAATGATGAGCAGTAGCAAGCATAATTGAATTTAGTAAATATTCATTATTTCCTTGAAAAATATTCGGGTGTCTCTTACGATGAAGACGAACGAAATGATAGAAAAAAAAAGAGAGATATTCAGGTAATACAAATACATATTCATATTCATTACGTAATTTTGTTCTTGTACATATACAATGTAAAGTCAAGAAGCGTGATGGTCAACACTATGTATAATAAATATGTATGAAGGAAAAAAATGAGTATAATGTGTGCATCTACTTATATATCAAATAGGTGATTGTTTGATCACACATTAAATTAGAAATACATGTGAATACATACATATGAGTGATTTGAAAAAGGATCTTCTTTGATTTGAGTTTTATTGAAAGCTTATTTTTTCTTTTTATTGAATTAAATTGGCGTTTTATTATTTTTATTATTTCAAAACAGAAAAATTAATACATGTCAACTATAATTAACTAATTAACGACAATGAAAAGAAAAATGACTAGATATATGTATATGAGAATGTAGTATAAATTATTTTTCTTTATGTTTTCCATGTAAATGTTGTTGTTTCATGGATGATTTATCATTTATATATCTTTCAATAAGATTTTCGATACATGCATATGCTCGATCAACTTGTTCACGAGTACCTTTCATAATTACCTAAACAAAAAATAGAATAGATCATTTGAAAGAATTTTATGAATTTTTACTGTTCGTTTAAGATCATTGGTTTCACCATTAATATAAACAAATGCTCCAGTTTTCTGTTTTATTCGTTCAATACATGATGCATTAACACCTAGAAAGAATTTCTTGGTAGAGAATCAATATTAAATTAATTTACCTATAACAACACCAGCATATTTATTACTAATAATCATTTCACGTTGAATAATGTCTGTATTATTATCTCGAGTATTTCGAAAATTCCACCATTCATCATTTTCATCCCATAAATCATCATCATCATTGTCATCATCATCATCATCATCATCATCACTTCTAAAAATGAACAAAAAATTCAAATTTTTTCAAACATAATATTATTAGAATATACTCTTCATCTTCAGTTACATGCATTTGTGAATGATGTACAGACGTTAGTGTATTTTGCTTTGTTATAAAACCTCCATAGTCCAAGTTTGATAAGATTATTTCATTAATATCATCATTTGATAAGTTCGCTGGATTATATAACTTTATATTTTGTTTTATATATTGTTTTTTATTATTTTCTTCAATATTAAAATAAATTTCTTCGACACAATCTTTTATAAGATCACGTTGTTTTCCATTAATTAATAAAATTCTTTCATCAGATTTTGGACATGAATTAGAAAAAATTTTTATTTGATTTAATTGAAAACGTTTTAAAAGTGAACAAGATATTTCATTTAATTTATCCATTAGAAATGATGCATTATCTTGTGTTATAAGCATACGTATTTCATAATGATTTGGAAATAAATTCCAATATAATGTAAATGTCTTAAGAGATGAATCAAGATTAGATACATTAAATGTTAAAACACATTCATTAATTAATTCATTACTATAAAAAGTTAAATGAAAAACGGGAAGCAATTTTTTTTTTAATTCAATACCATCAATTCGTGAAATAAGAAAACGATATTTTGTATGTAATAAAGTTGATTGTTTATTATTTGTTGAAAGTTTAAATGAGTCAGATATTTTTTGAGATGTAGTAGAAAAACAAGGAAATGTTGGCATCAATGAAGTATTTGATTTTATTTCATTATTATTATAATTTATTGAAAGTTTACCATTGAATTTAACTGAATCATAATTTAAACGAAATGATAATACTAAAAAAATAAAGATATTCAAAAGTCTGTTAGAATTTTTCGTTTGTTAGTGTTTCTTTTTTTCTATTTACATTGTAAAAATTGAACTTCAGATATAATTTGATTAATTCGTTCTTGTATAATATCGATTTCTTCATTGGATTTTGCTTTTTTAAGTTGATTTTCTTGTTCAATTAAAAGTTCATTCGTAAATGAAGCAAAATGATGAACATCGTCAAGTGTTCTTTTCATATCAAGAAGAATATTATCATGCATTTCATTAAGTTGTGCTACTGTATTGGTATGCCATCGATTTAAATCTTCGATTACTCTTTGGTATGATTTATCAAGTGGAAGAGATTTCTTTAATTCTAAATCAACCATTGATGAAAAAAGACAATTACAATAATAACGAATAAAAACAAAATTTGCTTCTTTTTTTTTTTTTTTTTTGTCCACCTTTATTCGAAAGGTAAAACGCAAAATAAAAAACAAAATCCAAATAACGGCCGATGTCGCTATTCAACAGAAAGAAATAATTGCATATTAAATGTCAAGTGATAAGAAATAAAAAGTAGAACATTGTTTTGTTAAATCTCATTTTCAAATATGAAACAATATCTATTACTTGCTCTTCTAATTCTATGTCAAGCCAATGATGATAAACTTAGTCAAATAACATTAATGAGTTATAATGTTATGTTCATACCACGATTACTTGTTTTAGAACGCGATCAAATAACTCGCGCTCGTTTATTAACAAAAGCAAAATTTCTTCGTTCAAGTGACATACTTTGTTTACAAGAATTATTTGAACCAAAACCAACTCAAATTTTACTTAATTCTCTTTCGGATACATATCCTTACAGTACACCAATATTAGGTAATCAAGAAAATCAAGATGATTGGGACGAAACTTGGAATCGTCAAATAGGTCGAAGTTCATTAAAATTTCTTAGTGGTGGTTTAAAAATTCTCAGTAAATGGCCAATTGTTCATACTGCACAATATTTTTATAGACATTCATGTAGCGGTCATACATTTGCTCGTGTTGGTTTTATTTATACACGAATATTATATGGTAAAAATAAAATTCCCATTCATGTTATTGGAACACATTTACAACCAAGTGATCATAGTGGTTGTTATCTATCAAGTGAAGAAAAAACACGTGAAAAACAAATGTATGAAATAACAGGTTTTATTGATGCACGAAATATATCAAAAAATGAACTTATATTTTTTCTTGGTGATTTTAATATCGATAAATATAATATTGAACAATATGAAGCAATGATTGATATATTACGTGTTAAAGAACAACATTTATATCCATCAAGTATTCAATGTACTTGGGATAGTTCATTTAATGCAATGACTCATTCAAAACATCAAGAAAATCAATTATTAGATTATATACTAATACATAAAGATCATACATTAAATAACTCTCTATGGTATAATATTATCATGGATCAAATGGCATCAGAACAATGGCATTTACTAGGTAAAAATCGAATGTTTTATAATACACGTAATATTCCATTAATGGAACTCTCAGATCACTATCCAATATGGGGTTTTTTTAATTTAAGTAAAAAAAATTGGCCTGAACAACCATCAGGTGTTCTTACTTATGTGAGTTTTGTAACAGTGGATACAAATTTACCTGTCATGATTGTTGATCGTAATATTCAAATAGGAAATTCAACCAATGATACAGGTTCAATTTTTATTTTAACAAATAATGGTACACCACGTCGACATCGATGTTTAAGATCAGAACAATATATTATATTACTTGATGGTAATCAATCAGAATTTTATTTATCTGATGCGAAATATTTTCGTATGAAATATGGAATGGAACAAGTTAATCGATATTTAAAAATAATTCAAATTGATAATACATCAAAATGTATACAAACAAATTCAACGTTTATTTTACAAACACGCTCATCAACTGGATTTTATTATGTTAATCATAATTCATCACATTTATGTTCATGTACTAAAGATAAAAATCAAGCTCAATTATTTCGATTAATTGAAATTAAACGAAAAGACATTAGTTGTATTATAACACATTGAAAACAATCATCAGAGATCTGCAAAGCTGTTTGGCACTGCCCAATGTTTTGAAAGTGTGAAATTATTTGTTCGATATTCTTCAAATCTGACTTGATTCATGAAATTTTCTAATAGTATATGTTGCAGTGCAAGACTGCTCTGTAGATCTCTGATAATGATAATCAAATAAAATATTCAATTAAGATTTTTGTATTTCTTAGTCGTAACAAAACAAATTATTGATTAAATAAAGAATTGTTTTTCAAAATGTTGATTATACTATCCCGGAATCAGTAGTGTGTTAGATTAATCATACGAAAAGGTATTAACGTACACAAAAATTTAATATCAATTCAGAATTAACCGAATAAATAATAGTAATAGCAACATATCACGAATTTATGGTATAATCATGTGACTTACACTTGACAAGGATCGGTGGTCTTTTGATACTTAAACGGTCAACTATCATCTGACCGTCATTTTCCCTGGGTATACCCATAGTTATTTTCCAACCAGCAATCTACGGTAGTTGCAAAAAAGCTTCGCTTCCATGTAAAAAGTACTTAAACTTTAATTATTTTTGTACTTTCATAGTTTGAATATAGATAGAGTGTGTTGTACTTTGATTGCAAGGATTTGATCAACCTTCATGCGAAGAACTAGAAGGTTAGCATATACTTTTTCTTCAGATGAGGCTACCTCAGCATAAAAAACAAATCTTATGATGTTAGATTCCTCATTCGACAGCTCAGTGCTATCTCCATCACCAATAAATACTTTGTGTCAAACGGTTTTAGTTTGCCTGACTTCTGAAGTAGTATTTGAATAATTTCCACATGAGAATCGATGAGAATAGCCGGAAAGTACCGACTTATTCGACTAATTTCAACTATTAGTTCAGTGAGTACTCTGCTTCAATCCAGTTTTCTCTCAAAATTTCGCCATTGCAGTCATCGATGGAGAAGAGATCTATTTTGAGGTCATCCCAAATGATAGAGACTTTTTCGCGTTTTAAGGTTATAACCTATTGAAATATCCTATCAATGACACAATATAAACATGCAAATCAGTATTTGTTAATAAGACAATGGAAGTTAAGGCATTTAAATAGTGCAAATGTCAATCAAACCCTTTCTGGATCCTAAGACAAAAGCAACTGTTTTTTCATCTTAAATCTTTTGTATTAAGATCTATCGACCCCGGATTGATGCTTGCGATTAGAGTTTACCGAATTATATTTGTAGTCAAAACATCAGGCATATGGATTGAAGTTTAGATACTTTTTACCCAGTAGTGGAGCTTCTTGCGACTTCTGTATTGTCGCTATACTGTGAGTAAAGTCAACAAAAATTGAATTTGAGCATTCAAACAAAATCTGTCCTCAATATGTTTTCATTCTTAGTAAAAGTTCTTTTATTTATTTTTCAATCATCTACCTTCGGTGTTGACGAAATGTATTTGGTCAATTTCTCATGCATGCACAAACAACTGCAGACATTAAAGCATATAATTGAAATTTCAGTTAATTATTTCATTCGACATTGATAATTGAGACGAATAGAATAGACAGATAACAGTTTGTTAGAAGCAAAAACAAAGTCTCATGTTGTTTACAGATAATATTTAATCAATACAGACATTATCTAATCTAACGACGTTTACTTTTAAAAACTGTTTTTCTTGTATAATATTAGATGTCTACGAACGAACATAATGCGTTTACAAACCATCTATATTTTTCATGAAAATCCATAATGAAATTCGCTTATATTCCTAATCTTCGTAACAGAAATAAAACTTTCAGAGAAAAATCAAAGAGCTCTATCCAGTGCGCAGATTTTAAGAGTAACGTCATTGAATTTTTGTATCTGTTTTTGAACTATTTAACAGTTTATTCTGTTCTTGTTCATAAATATATTTAGAAATACTATCGAATTCTGGACAAAATGGAATATTTCGTTTATCAAATGATGACTTTTATTTTACATGAAAACTTCTTTGATCGAAAAAGTTGACAATATTTCTCCTTGAGAAAGACGATAAACTGTTCAAGATTACCACTCTCTTTCAGTGTTTAATAGTCGATAGATAGATGAGTCAAGTCGTTTTAAGTAAACTCAATAAATCGTAGTAGCTCGTCAACTTTTTATAAGATTGAAACAAAGTTAAAACGAATGTATTTGTACTTGGTCTTTACATATTTTTCAAGTTAATGTGAAATTATACATATGCAGAAGGTGTAAATATTTTTTTATTGTACTTACGAGAAAACACATTTAGTTGGTACCATTCAGTTTCGTTCGATTATTAGTCAATCGAGCGAAACGTATCAAACTAGCAGAAAAGAATATCAGATATTGGTGCTTCCTTCAAAAGCTACGTAGATTTTCTAATTTTTTCAGTGAAAAACGAGGAAAATGAAAAAATTCAAAATGTAGTCAAAGAAAGTCATAGAAGACTGAAACCTTTTGTGTTAGTAATCTTTAAGGTCTATCATGTTGTCTGATAGTTTCAGCTTGCTAGTTCATTTTCCTACCGAATTATGGCACTATCTATTTAGAACAACAATTCTTTATGAAATCTACGATATGATAGAATTTCGTTTTGCTCATGCTTCTTTACTTTCACTATACTCAAGGATATTTTGCTATTCCTTGTCATTCTATCTTGTGGATGAGTGCGTCTACCTGAACAGCAGATCCTTCATCCCTACTTATTAACCCGACTAGAAAGTGTTATAAGTCGGAAGAAGAGCAGGTTAGAGAGCCGCAATTTTCTGACTGTATAACAGATTTTAAAGACTATCAATATAAAAGCTTTGAGCTCTGTCAAATACTTTCCTGAACAAAATTCTAAATTTGTCAATTTCCATTGTTTTTTTCATCGGAAGAACTAGAAAAGCCTACTAAAAGAAGCGCCAAAGGTCAACATCGTTTTTGAAAATACTCATCCAAAAACTTTTTGAAAGACAACGTACCCTATCAGATGATTGTAGTAGATTTTCAATTATCAAATGTGCATTCGAACCATCGATAGACGATCTACAAAACTATGCAAATCTCAAAAAATTTTAGATTTAGTTATTCAGAAGCCATGGATATTCTAGTCAAAATTCTCGGTCGAATTTGCAAACAATCGCTTTGAAAAAAATCACATTTATGTTAAAAAGAACTATTTCAATCATCACTGGGAAACATTCATCATCATTTTAAAGAAATTTGAACAATAAAAATAGATGATTTTCACAAGTAATCATCAGTGATTTTTCTCAGTATATTAAACGTAAAAATTTTTCATTACAACATGCTCAT